GGCGCAGAGAGGCTTCAGAGGAGGACCTGATGGAAAGGTCTGTGGTCAAGAGGAGCGACGCAGGAGGAGGGTGGGGCCATTCCGCAGAATTACAATTTGGCTCACTTCCAATTGCTGGACACCTCTGGAGAGGCACCCCCGTGGGCAGCTGGGTCGTGCGTGGACAGGGCATTCAGGGGCCGCTGACGATTGGCCTCCCTGAAGGCTTCCAACTCCCTGGCCAGCATGTGACCCCGGCCAACCCGCAGGAGGGCAGGCAGGCCCCGGCGCAGGCGTTGGGCGGACTGCATCCAGGTGCCGTAGTGGAAAAACTTGCCCACGGGGTATCTGGGGAAGTTGTCCTGGGGGGGGAAGGGCCCGTCAAGGGGTGCCAGCACCCCCGCTCCAGCCCCCAGCCGGCCGGCGGCCCCCTGGAAGGGGCTCCAGAGGGGAGGGAGGTGGCCGTCTTACCGGAAGCACGGTCGGGAGAGTCGACACGTCCCTCTCGGACTTGGCGGGGGTGGCACAGTAAGTCTCCAGGAGGGCCAGGTCGCAGCTGCGGAAGCAGCACTCCTCCACGATGCCGCGGCTGCTGCTGCTGCGGCGGCTTGCTCGGCTGGCCGGTCTGCCTGCAACCGGGGGGCTGGTCAGCAGCGAGGCCCGAGCGGGCAGGGCGCCCCCAAGGAGAGGGGCAGTGGGGGGGCGCTGCGGGACGACGCCCTGGCCTCTGGGCGCCTCCCTCCCGGGACTGAAAGTGGGCACAGCCTCTGGGTCCCGGGACCCAGAGCGGCTTGGAAAATGGGCTCAGGGGGCTGCCCAGCGAGGGGTCCAGACCCCACGTTCGGGGACCAAGGGTCCCGTCCTGGAGGCCGGGCTGGGACACGGGTGCCGCCCTGAGCTAAGCGGGGCGGTGGTAGGAATGGGAGGAGAAAGAAGAAGACGGGAGGAGAGGAGTGAGGACCTGCAAGAAACCACGCCCTCCTCTCCTCCCGTCCTCCCCCTCGCAACCCCCGGGCTCCCGGGCTCCAGGTCTCGGGGGGGAAGCTGCTGCTCGCCCAGCACCTCGCTGCGGCCCTTGGGGGGGCAGGGGGAGGAGCCCTGGTAAGGGGTC